GGGTGTGCCTTTGTCACAGAGTAACTTGTTTCTGAAATGACTTTGACATGCAAATTGAGTCAGAGCCACTGGCATTTATTTCTACTTAGCTCACTTTAGCCTTCCTTTCCCTACCCTCTGCTCCCTCCCACTTCCTTCACCTAGTTCTGCTTGATCTCTCAGAGGGCTGCCTATCTTTTCTTTTCCTCTTAATCCACTGAGCAGCATCCAGATTGCAAAGGATGCTCCAAGTCCCCTATCTGGGCCCCTCAGAATCTCTGGGGTTTGTTCACCCCAGGCTGTCCTAGAAGCCTGAAGCATCAGGCCTTGACCATCCGCTCCCTACCTGATCAGGGCTATGGACCCAGGCCCATGTTTTGATTACCTGGAAGAAAGCAATCATCTTGTGAGGAAAGCAAAACAGCCACGGTGCAAAGGTAGTGGGAGCCTCTCCAATTCAGAGCAACTGTCCAAGGTGATGGACATGGACGTCCCCCATATTCCCCACCTGCTCACATCGTCCTCACAGCTGGCTCCCTGAAGCCTTCCCTAATTTGAGAATTCCTTCAAATGCCAACTAAATGCTGAGAATTTCTTTCCAGGAGGCCAATTAACTGATTTTCCCTTCATATGGTCAAGTATGAAAATACCAAAGCTAATTTGACTTTGCAGTGGGTTTTCGGTGACTCAGCTGTTTCTAGACTTCCCTCTAATAACTTATTTATGTTTTCTAAGACTTAAAGCCCTTTCAAGCTGGGGAAGAGTCTCCCAAGTCTGTATATTAATCACAATGTTGGGTTAGTAAGTCAACATCAAGATTGTTAGCCTAAATATGCCTTTTCTTCTTGATTTTGCCAATTTCATTCTCCTGTATATGACAATTAGTCCCTGAAAGCAAAAACCCCATCCACCTGTGGTTTCAGGCCCAGCTGTGTCCGTAATTCCTAGGTTGAAGGCTCGCTGCTGTTATTTCTGTTACCACTCAGTCTTCTAATGAGATTTCGGCTTTGTGCCATCTCGTTCCCAGGGATGGTTCATTATTTTGCCACTTGCCCGTCTACATGCGTAACTTCAACAAATTAAAGCAGAGAAACTTCTAGACAAATGAAAACAGGTTTTATTTACAAGAGCAAAATCTGTACATTGTGTACACATAAAAATATACAAAACCAAAATAGAAAATATCAAAGTGTTAAAATGTGTACAAACACCTTTTAAATGCAACTCCTGGAAAACCTCAAGCCTTAATTAGTTGGAAGAGTACACATTTCCTTTTAAAAATTATTATACAAAAAAATTCTCAAAGCAGTTAAAAAAGTTCACTGGTTTCTACTGGAAGAATTTCCTAAGTATCTGACCTACAGTAAAACAGGATGTGTATTATAAATGTTAGATTTTAACACTTTCTTTTGTTTGAAACCTACCTAGTAAGAAGACATCTTTCCATGGAACCAATAAGTGTTTCTTCTAATCTTTGAAAGCCATGAACGATAAACTTCTCTTCAAGGTTCGGCATTAAATCAGGCTTCTGAGCAGAATAAAATATGAAGGCAGTGCTCCACCTTCATAGTGCCTTTTAAATATGTTTGTCAGACCTTTTTAATGTAACCAAGATACGCAGAGTAAGAGTGGGGAGGCAGGATAGAGGGTTAATTTTTTTTTAACAGAAGGACATAGAACATTTGCTTCCTTCTCTTAAAAAATTAGTGTTTACATAATTAAAATAAAATATAGTGTAAAGATTTCAGTCAAAAAATTGATGAAAAAAGGCAATATAAAATCAACTGTGTGTGTAGATAAGTATATATACAATTATATATCTACACATACACTTCTTATACTAAGAGTAGGAACTCCATCAGTGACTTTAATTCTTTAAATTCCATTAGCCCAAACTTGAGTAGGAATATGTTGGACAATATTTTTCTTACTAAAAGGCTTCATTCGTTTATTAAAACAAGAATTTGCATTTTATTTCCTTGAACTGACAGAGAAATACCTTTCATTTACCAAGTGTGTAAATAATGCCCAAGGGACAGAAACATGCATAATAATCTCACAATGAAAATATTCAGAGTATAAAAGACAAGTGTAAACTCAGGCACGTTTTATCTAAGCAATTAATTTCTAAATGGAGCTGCCTTGGTCAGTCACAGAATCACTTGGTGAGAGTTCTAAACTATCAGAAAATCCTAAATTGAAACAGACGCTATGATAGAACATATTTGGAGGCTATTTGGCCTATGTACTCATTCCCATCTCTCTGGTCATTCTCCTGGTCCCATTCTATACCTTTTCTCTGTCTCTTCCCACAGCTAAGCAGAAATGGGACCAGGCACCTTTGGTCACATGCATTGTGCATTGATCTGTAAGAAAAGCTGGAAAGAGGACTTTAATCGTGTCATTTGTGAGTACAAAATTCTTCTATCATATACCATTACTCATCCCAGACTGATCCCACTTAATGCACCCGAACAGGACCATATTAATTCAGTAGATGTCGGTGTCCCTACTCAGAAGGGTCAGCCAACTACACAACGTATCATCTGTTCCAGCAGAATGAACTGGCTCATAAGCATGTATGACAGACATTGACACAGTGACTGTAATTCCCAATTTTGAAAACCATAAGGGTTATTTTAGCATTGCTTTCATCCAGATGCTATGGCTACATTATCTAAAGCCTATTGGAGAGTTCTGGATTGATTGTGTTTCTGGTCAAAAGACTGAGAGGATGAGACATTGGGATGTGCTGTCCCTGAGGCAGGGTCCTCTGGGCTTGTGTCCAGGCATAGGAGGAAAGACCAAGTAATCCACAGGCCTGTAAAAGCCCCTTCCTCACCCATTTTAACACATACCTCTAACACAACCTCTAACTGACCACCTGTTGGTCCTGAGCACAAAGTAGCCTTGTAAGGATGGAGTGGGGAGGTCAGCTGCCGGGACCAGCACAGGAATTTCATGGAATGCTGTGGCCCTAAAGGGTATGCTCCTCCCTGGTGAGACCAGCTGGAGAAACAAACCAGGGAGAATCTTGGTATGGTGGGATTGTCTTTCTTGGTCACCATTTGCTTCCTTATGATAACAACCACAACAAAAGATAGAGGGAAATGACCTTAAAGGCCCAGTAATGCGATGTTAGTCAGTCCTGACAGTGAACAAAGGAATGCCTACTGATGTTGCACCAGGAGGACTGCATCCGCTTCCCTTCCCCCAAAAGGATGGAGGACTCTGAAAGGGATAGAGCCAAGAAGGAGGAATCCAGTGGGGTGACATTTATTGTTAACTACTTCACAGAAGGGCTCTGGGGTTATTGGAGTTCAGTAAATGGTGCATGTAAGGATTTAATCAATGTCTGGCAAAATATTGCCACTTAGGACCCACTTGGCTAACACTGGAAGCAGTCATCACATTAACTACAACTGCCAACAATGTTTAGAAGCTAAACCATTTAAACTTTTAAATAAAAGAGTGCCCAGTCAACACTATATTAATATGTGTACCACATTTTCTGAACGTTTTAACAGACCTTGATTCTTAAGAGTCTTTAAGGCCATAATAAATTCAAACATTTTAATTAAATTTCCTTTATGCTCTTCAATCTTTCTTGGACCCTCAGTGAAATTGCAAGTATTCTTTTATTCTTTTAAAAGTACATGTGTTACAATGAAATGCCACTTAAAAATCTTTGAAGTGTTTTCTGGCGCTTTTGAATTTGAATATTTACGTTGACCTCAATATTATTATTCCGTAATCAATTTCTTATGGCACCAGTGGGGGATTGTCCAGGATAATAAGGATGCCTGTACATAAACCCACTTGGAAGACAATAAAAGAAACCTTAATCCTTGGGGGCATTTAAAGGAAAAGTTTGGAAGATCTAGGAGGATTGAAGGATTGTAGAAGGACTATTCATCCACATCAGAGCTACCTCATCTGCGTTCCAGAGTTATTGAGCTTACCATATGCATGTAAACATGAGGATGAGACAAAGCTCTTTTAAGAAATTAGAAAGCAACATAACCATGTTGGAACTTAAAAGGAAGCTTGACCAGGTCAGGTATAAGTTAAGGTACAGGACAAAGTTACCTATCTTATCATGTAGACTTACTAATGAAATTCTCAAAATGGGCTTTTATTGGATACTGTTATGATTAAAACCTTTTAATTACTCCTATTTCACTATTATAATAAGGTATGAGAGATGTCGGTTATACACTTTGATTTTTGCTGAGTAGACTAAACCAAACAGAAGCTGTGAGTCTCTGCAAACCACGCTTGCTCAAAAAAGTGGTCCAGAGAACACTCTGGAAAAATAAACAATCCTGCAATAAATACAACTTTTCCACTAAACCCTCCTGACATTCACTTGATTTCCAAGACAGAAAAGATATTTAATTAAACTGCTATTGTCATTGTCGATAAGGCTTTACACCACTGTATGTTTGGGTTATATCTGGAAATGATACCAGGTTCAATTAAGGTATTACAAATGTTTCAGTTTCATGACATTCATAGCCCCCCAAATTTTAACGTGCCAGTGACAAAAGTAGACATTTTGTTAGAAATCTGAATATAGCTAATTTCATCCACTGGGATGAAAATTTCCCTCCAGCTGTCTTTTCCTCTGAAGCATATACACATTTTCCTTGTTAAAGAGCAATGCTTTCACACAATTTATTTCATTATATGGCTTTGTCAGGCTGCTGACATAAAACATATCTGTGAAAACAAGGACTGGTTTCCTAAATATTTGTCTGTAGGAAGAGTTAGTGAAAATTCAGTCACTGTTGAGTTCCCAGTAGCTGATAAAAACCTGCAAGAAATCCATATAAAAGGGAGAGGTGTTCATCCCCAGCAGCACTGGGTGATGGCTGTGAAGTTCTTCTAGTTTAGAAGGAGCAAGGTGTCCCCTGCCTTCTCCCGCAGGGCTGTGTGTCACAGCAAGAGCTGTGGGGCAGACCTACAGGTGAAAAGGTAGGAGGCAGCACCAGGGCCCCTCTGCGGCACCGTGGTCTGGAATTACTTGCCAGTGGTGTTCCTCTCCGTCTGTGACACGTATGCTCCTGGGTATGTCACAGAATATTGCAGGGAAACAAAGGGTCTCCTCTGTCATGCAGTAAGGGATCTCACTTTTTCTTGGACCCCCTACCAGAAGGATGTTTCACAGGTTTAGAATTCTGTCTCGGTACACAGAGAGCAATGCATTCAGTGGACAATGGGAGGCGGAAGTGGGGAATGCAATGGTGGGAAACACCTGATAGCATAAAGCGGGGATTTTTTGCTGTTAAAATGAACGCATCTGAGTGATACTTCAAATGTTGATCATAAAATCTATTCAATGATGAATGCATGTATCAGTGCATTAGATAATGCTGTAGATACTGTACTGCAAGATGGATGTTTCCAAATAGAAAGCATTTTATAAGACCAGGAGTATCACCAAAGCCTGTAATTGAAACCACTCTGCTGAGGGCACCCATGGCATAAGAAAAGGCTGACATTTTTGGAGGTATCATATCCATGGTTATACATTTGTTTTCTTTCTCACTATCCTTTTTTGGCATCTCTCTTGAGCTATTTTTTTTTTAATACCATTTCTATATTCAAAGCAGTAATAAATACTCAATGGCTTAAGAAGAGAAGAATTCTTGAGACCATCACTAAATTACAGTTTAAAGACTCAAAACTACATCGTCTAAAATATATCTTCAAGTATTCTTTTGTGACTGTGAAGTACAACAGTAGTACCTTATTGCACATTGATTCCCAAGTGACCCTTTTTAAGAGTGTGGACTAGTTGGGCTGGGCGCAGGGCAGCGCATGGCCTGGAACCCTGGCAGGACCACCTTGCCCTTGCGGTGCAGGTCACCCTGGGTGCCCATGTTCAGGCGCTGCACCAGGAGCTTCTCGTAGAGCAGCGGGTGATAGGCCCCAAGGGTGCAGGCTGCGTCGTAGTACAGCTCGTGGTAGTGGCAAAGCTCTGTCTGCCGGATGGATGGGATGTATTCATACACATGCACTTCTCTGCACATAGACATCATGATGAGGATTCCTGGTATAAAAAAAATGATAATAATTGGAACCCAGTGAAAAACTCCAAAGGTAAATGATCATTTTTCTGGGGTGGTGGTCATGGGGAATGACTGTGGCTGGAGACACTTGCTTTGCACTCACTTTCTTGTTACCTTTATATATGCAATGTTAGAACTTCCTTCCACTAAGTGGAATGCATGAAGTCCATAGGGTGTGGGGGCCTACTGGGATGTAATGGTCTATATTTTCATTGGTTCAGTTGCTTAATGTGGGCCTGGGAACAAATGAAAGAAAGCCATTGAACTCACAATGGGGACAAATTTGCCATCCCCAAATCAGACTATCCTGCGTCACATTTGACATACATATCCCATCTGGTTTGCAGTGGTAGGACTGTTGTGTTCCAAAGAAACATAATATAAAAAGTTGATTATACGACAGTTGCTTGATTGTAAACTGACTATATAACAATTGCTTGAAAAGTTGTAAAATGGAACTGTACAATGGAAAAGTTATTATAAAAATACTTTCGTTGTTTGAATGGAAAGAAATGGAGTTCAAGAGACATAGAGTTTAAGAATATTATTAACAACAATTTTTTTTCCCACTTGAATGTCAGGATTAAAGTTTTTAATTATTTTTTTAATGTTTCAAATAGCCACAAAAGATAATCATGATTATGTGAATCTTATCCTTTTTTTTTTTTTTTTGAGACAGAGCCTCAAGCTGTCACCCTGGGGTGACATGTGTGCTGTGGCATCACAGCTCACAGCAACCTCCAACTCCTGAGCTCAAGCGAGTCTCCTGCCTCCGCTTCCCAAGTAGCTGGGACTACAGGCACCTGCCACAATGCCCAGATATTTTTTGGTTGCAACCATCATTGTTTGGTGGACCCAAGCTGGATTTGAACCCGCCACCTTAGGTGTATGCGGCTGGTACCTTAGCCACTTGAGCCACAGGCGCAAAGCCTGAATCATATCCTTGATCTAGGCTAATAGACTTTCTTTCTTTGATACCATCACCATCACTAACTTGAATCTTTTTAAAAAAAACATGCTATCCTTCCATTTTTCTGAAAGGGATAGCCATATTATGAAAAAACAAAAAGCCACACAGTTAGTTTCTGTTATAGCCAGTATTTATCTCCAGAAGACAGTCATATTAACCAATTGATTAATCATGTTTGGATCATAAAAATCCCAAAGCAGAGAAGTTCTGTATAAGAGACACTGAGAGGAGATAAAGTGGATGGACAAATCAAATCTTTTGTTGATATGCAAACATTGAGAAAATTTTCCACAACAAGACCTGTTCTATACACTGACCATCACAATGGACTGCCATCAAAGTAAGCACTCAGAAACTACAGGACAAAAAAATAGCTTCCATAATGATGCAAAAGATAAAAATAAGCAGTGGACTTTCACAGAATAAGATGACTGGAACATCACCACAATTATCAATTCTTTCAATAAATGTTAATGGCTTAAATTCTCCACTGAAGAGGCATAGACTGGCTGATAGATTAAAAAAAAATCACAATCCATTCATTTGCTATGTTCAGGAAACACGCTTAGCCTCAAATGACAAATTAAAACTCAGAGTTAAGGGATGGAAGACAATTTTTCAGGCAAACGGAATTCAGAAGAGGAGTTACAGTCTTATTTTCACATACAAGTGGATTTAAAGCAATGACAGTAAAAAAAGACAATGATGGACACTTCATATTGGTCAAGGGAACAATACAACAAGAAGACATTTCAATTCTAAATATCTGTGCACCCAACTTAAATGCTTCCCGATTTCTGAAAACAGAACTTAATTAGTCTGAGCAATATGATATCCATAACACCATAATAGCAGGGAACTTTAACACTTCTCTTACAGAACTGGACAGATCCTCTAAACAGAAATTAAACAAAGATGAAAGTGACATAAATGTGACCCTAGAACAACTGTGCTTGACAGACCTATATAGAACACCCCATCCCAAAGCTAAAGAACATATGTTCTTCTCATTGGCCCATGGAACATTCTCCAAAATGGATCATATCATAGGACACAAAACAAACCTCAACAGAATCAAAATAATTGAAATCTTACCTTACCACAAGGCTTTAAAGGTGGAACTCATCTCCAACAAAAACGTTCAACCCCACATAAAGGCATGGAAATTAAACAACCTTCTGTAGGAAGAGATTTTTAAAAAGAGGGAGAAAAAGAGAAGAGGGAAGAGACCTAATTTGGCCTGGGGGATCTGGAAAGGCTGCCCATAGGATGTGAGGCCTGAAGCTCAAGGGGCTTCCTAGTGGACAAGGGGTAGAAGGAAACAGGAGAAGGGACAGCCATGGTCTACCATTTAGAAGACTTTAGAGGATTGTGGCAGAGAGTAATATACACTCCTAACAAAGAGGAAATTGTGCAGTTCAAATTGTAAGAAGTTAAATTTGTTCTCAAGGGCAATAGTCAAAAATCTCAAGTAGCTGGTCAGTTCCTGTCACTTTCCACCCAGGTCAACCAGTTTCCTCCCCATTTCCATGTCTGATCTCACCACCTGGCTATCACATTTCCCTCAGGCCTGGCTTAAATCCACTGTGGCTCAGGTGGCACCAAATGAGAACAACGAGGCAGGGCCTCCTGGACACTGGTGTGCTGGACAGATACCAGTGTGTGGGACGGGCACCAGCAGGGAACATGCAACCTCCCTCTTCCTGATTAGCAACTACTGCTCCATGAACATGTTCCTCTTCTGCACAAAGGCATCTGTACAGAATCAACTCTGTGAATGAGAAAACCATCTGCCCAGGAGAATGAGATTCTTTGATCTCCAGTAACTTTAAATGTAAATTCTCTGGTGTTTATGTTCTCTGGAGGTGAAGTTTTTGCACAATCCTTTGTGCAAAGGACACCTTGAAGCTACCTCACTGCCATGTGCAGCTGAAGATGGCTTCATGTCTTCCAAGGACCAAGGACCAAGGACCAAGTTCCTAGGCATTGCCCAGCACTGCCAGCTCCCCGGCCCTGGGCCTAGTATTTGCTGCACTGGCTGTGCACACAGAAGCCCCTTGGAAGGGGTGCACCTTCACATCACAGGCATGGTGGAGCAACCATATTTATTACAACATTTTTCCTGCACGTGGCAGCGAGGTAGCTTCAGAGTGTCCTTTGCACAAAGGCATCTTGTGACTTGGCAGTGGAACTACATACCCTAAAGCCACAGTTCTCTGCTATCCAGAGCCAATAATATGTCAGCGTCAGTGGGGACTGGAGTCAACTGTCTCTGAGCTGTGACCTTTGCAACTCTGGCTCTTACCTTGGACTGGCTTTCAAAAGTCAATCTTCTACCTAGGAAAAGTGTGCCACCACATAGTTGGCCCTCCCGCTAAAGCCCAAGTTCTCAAGTTTCAGCATAAAAAAGAATGACCCCTGCAGCTTGTTCAAATGCAGGTTCCTGGGATTTGCCCTCCTTCCTAGAAATGTGGTTTCCATCGTGTTATGCTGAGGTCCAGGAATTTGATTTTTTTTTTTTGCAGTTTTTGGCCAGGGCTGGGTTTGAATCCGCCACATCCGGTATGTGGGGACGGTGCCCTACTCCTTTGATTCCAGGTGCTGCCCAGGAATCTGAATTTTTAATAAGAATGCCTAAACTGTCTGTGTGAAGGGCCATTTAGAAAAAAAATTTATAATCTATCATAGACCAATACTTTTGCAAAATACAGTAACAATAAACTATTAGAAAAATGATCACTTATTAGAGTGCCACAGCTCTGGGCCATTGCTATAAAGCATCTAAATACTTTCAATGTCTACACTAATCTAGCTGTGGACCAATAATAAACATTCCTAGACCAGTGTTGGCACTGAGATGGGGATAACACACATGTTCTTCAACAGTCCCTGGTGATGGATCACCAAGCTGTCTCATAGGAAGTGAGACATTCTGCAAGTTGACAGCTAATCCAGAATTGAACTTCTCCCCAAACCAAAGAAAGAAGAACCCAGAGGTTGTTTCTCTTGCAATCTTCTTGGTCTCAAAAAGCTAGCAGATGCTTGAATCTGACTAATTTTTCTAGAAATATTTCCATAGAAAATGTTTCCTCTTGCTGCTGGTTAATTGTTATATCTTAAATTATGTATCATTAAATGTACAATATAGATTGTATCATAAAATAAAAAATATGCTCTCAATAAATGTAAAATAGGTACACTTTTAGCATTTTCTTTTATGAGTACTTTATATTTTAAAATAACTTCTAGAGTTTCAGAAATCATTTTTCAGTTGCAACAGTCCAAAGTGAAGAGCAATAGTTACTCAGGTAACTGAGTGGTTGCCTGTCTGCACTATCTGCCCAGCTCCTTCTGATGTTTGCCTAAGAGACAGACTTAGCAACAATGATTTCTGTATCTTCTTCGTAGTCTCATGTGAGTATGTGGCTTCCTGTAACTATGAACCACAGTCTCCCTACTGGACTCCAAAGTTTAAGTAACAGCAGAATCTGCTCTGAGTATTTAAATGACAGCTGCTATAGTGTGGACATGAGATCTGGTGTAGAGGCAACTTCAAGGGGAAAGGAAAAAAATTAATTTACCGTCCATTGGATACATGTGACAGGTGGACAAGGAGATTTATGGTACCAAAGGAGGAGAATATTCTTGAACATTTTAAACCTTTCCTAAGGCAGCATGATCAATTCATTTGGCATATGCAAACTTTGCATTTTATTTTAATAAGAAATAAAAATTGCATAAACTTGAGTTCGGATTCAGTATAATACTGCACAATAAACAAATCATTATCATTAAATACGGTTAAATCTACACATCAGTTTTCCCAAGAGCTGTTAATAGTCCTTAGCTCTATATAAAAACTTAAAGGGTAAATTTGAGGTCTATAAGTTCTTATACAGCTCTTACAAGTATGTGTGTTGGAGAAGAGCGTATGTGGGGAGCAAATGCTGTAGGCAGCAGGCTGGAACAAAACTGGGGAGCAAGAGAGTCTTCAAGCGCTGCTGGAGGTGA